AGGTGGGAAGCCCAATTGGTGAGATCTAATTACACTTCCTCTACAGAATGAGAACTCAAGATTAATTTGTTATACAATTCACAGACATAGAAAAACTTTTGGTTACCAAAGGGGAAAAGGGTAGAGGAGGGACAAATTAGGAGTTTGGGATTAGCAGATACAAACTACTATCTATGAAATAGATAAACAACAAGGTCCAACTGTATAACACAGGGAACTATATCCAATATCCTGTAATAAACCAAAAGAATATGAAAAAGAATATATACATATTCTTTGTACATTTTGTTGTGCACCAGAAACTATCACAGCATTGTAAAACTGTTACCAAATCCAAGCTCATACTGCTTGCCCCATGACAGGCCAATAAATCAAGAGAAAAGTTGTTGAGGCAAAGAGTGGCGACTTTATTTGGAAAACCAGCAGCCCAAGAGAATGGTGGACTACTGTCCCAAAGAACCATCTTTTCTGAGTTCAAATTCAGGCTTCTTTTATACTAAAAAAGGAAGAGGTAAAGTCCTGGTTCCGGCCAGACCCAGGAAAAGATGTATTAATTTCTTCCTTCCTGCAGCCATTCACAGGGGGGCCTGGTCAGGCCGTTTCCTGTGAGCTAAACAAAGGTATTTTAGCTTAACGCTCATTACCTGGGAGGTAGGGTTCCCCAAGATAGGCCATTATGTATAATTTAAGCTTATAGGCAACATCCTTTTAGTGATTAACAAGCAATAGAATACAAAGGTTAAAGTAAAATAAACAGATCTAATATAGAGCCAGATTTGTTCTTCCCTATTACAGATCAACTGTACTTCAATTAAAAAAAGTAATAAATAAAAAGATTAATTTGTTATAGAAAAATAGACCAATGCATACATCTTGTCTACCTGAGTCTGTGGACTCAGACTTGCACCAACCGTAGCAGGAATACCAGGACTTGCCTGTGTTTACTTTGGAGTCTTATTTCAGACACTTGTACTAACAACTCACTTCCTCTGGATGAAGCATGAGAGGGAAATGAGAGGAAGCAAAACTAGCATTTGTAACAGTGATTCTCAAACTCTAATACTGCGCATTAGACTTACCTGGGAAATTTTTTTTAACTCTCATGCCCAGGCAACATCTCGGGTTGATTAAATCAGAATCTCTGGGAGGGAGATGCGGCCATCGCTAATTGTTAAAGTTCCCCAGGTGCGTTCATTGGGCGGCATGTTTGAGAACCCGTGATTTGAAGCGGTACTGCTCACACTTCAGCGTGCACACAAGTCACCTAGAGATCTTGTTAAAATGCAGACTGATCTAGTAGGTCCGGGGCGGAGCCTAAGAGTCTGCATTCCAAACAAGATCCCTCTCTTGAGTAGCAAGGATTTAAAGGCCTCTGTTATGTGTCAAGTGTTTGACTCCTGATTACTAGGACGTTACGTAGCAGTTACGGGCTAAAGGGCTCTGGAGTCAGGCTGCCTGGCTCTAGACCTCGGGTCTGCACTTTCATGGTACTTCAGTATCTTCACCTATAAAACAAGGATGATGATAACAGTACCTAGTGGTCCTGGTAGTAGCATGAGGGGTGTAGCATCAGTCTCATTTTACAGATGAGGAAACTGAAGTTCAAAGAGCATCAGTACTTCACCCGAGCACACCTTGCTAGTAACTGGCAGCACAGGCTTGACCCTAGGTCTTTTCCCTTTTAAGGGTCCAGAGTGAATTTAATCTGATTGTCCTTCTCTCTTCCCTGTTTCTGATCATAGAACTACTAATGTTCTAGTTGCAGAGTATAAATCTGAATCATCACTGACCTCCCCTCCCCTTCCCTTCATAATCAGGTACCACTTGTTAAAACTCACTGATTTCACTTATGCTCCCCCTCCTCTCTGCCCATAGTATGACTCAAATCCAGTGTCCTATGATCTCCCAGCCAGAACTGTGAAAACAGCTTTACGTTTCTTTTCATGAATACCGGTTCTCTCATTGGTATCCTTAAGTCTGAAATCTGCCCAAATTCATCTGACCATGTGACTCCCCATTTCATAACCCAGCAATGATTCTCCATTACCTACCAAATAAAATCCAGCCTTTGTAGCCTCCTTTTCTATGATCTGACCCTGAACCGCCTCCCTTTTTTTTTTGACTGTTTCCTCTATAATACCTTCTCCATCTATTCTCCCCACAATATCCCCCAAATGATCATCTCTCCTCTTCAGAACTCTTTTAGCATTTTATCTGCACCCAATATGCCTCTGTGAAGACAGCAGCCGTCCAATAACTGAATGAATGAATGACCTTCAGCCTTGAATTCTAACTCCCAAGGGTCTGGAGGCTCATCTCACAAATGTCCCTAGAGCTGGTGTTCTCAACCACAGAACTTTGGCAGTTGTGAGGTATGTTAGAATTAATTTGTTCCTATTAATAAAGTACAACATTTTCAAATGATGTACTTTTCTAATAACTAGAGTGGATTCAAGATGATCCCTATAAGGGAGAAGGGTATAGGTCAGTGGTAGAGTATGTGCTTAGCATGTACAAGTTCCTCGGTTCAATCCCCAACACCTCCATTAAAAATAAGTAAGTAAATAAACCTGATTACCTCCCCCTGGAAAAAAAAAAAAACTTAAAATGATCCCTATAAGAATGACTCCCTTGCTTGAAAAAGAATATGAAAAGAAATACATATATACAAATGAATCACTATGCTGTACACCAGAAATTAACACAACATTGTAAATCGACTATACTTCAATTTTTAAAATTCTGGAGAGGAAAAAAAAGACTCCCTTGCTTATTTGCACTCTGCTATGATTTCTGAAGCATAAAGAACAGGCTGTAACTGTAGCTAATACACTGAGAATTACACGGACCCTGCAATTTTACATACGCCACAGCCTTTATGTGCTAATCTTATTGACTTGTTTAATAAAGGACAGTATTTTTAAAAAGTAAATTGGCAATATTTTTCCTTGAAAAGTGACATTTGAGGTCTCGAATTAGTTAACTCCATTACTTACCTGCTTATAGAATACCTTTCTAAATAAGACTCCTCCCCTTCCCCTCATAAAAGAAATCTGGCACTATTTCCTTTAATCCAGTGGACAGACATGGAATATTCCAGACATGGAACGCTCATTTGGGTGGGCCAGCAGGGCCCAAACATTAGAGCTGCACCGTTTAACACAGTCGCCACTAGCCACGTGGTTACTGAGCACTTTAAGTGTGACTCATCCAAATTGAGACGGGCATAAAAATATATATTAGATTTCGAAGACAGAATCAAAAATTAGCAATCAATGTAGAATATCTCATTGATATTTTATATTGGTTACATGGTACAGCTTGAATAGATCAAGTTAAATAAAATATAATATTAAAATTCATTTCACTTGTTTCTTTCCATAAGACTACTAGAACGTGTAAATTACCTGTGTGGTTTGCATGTGTGACCTGCATTCTGCTTCTGTTGGAAAGCACTGCTTTAGGGTACCTGAGAAATACTGGAGAGGCCTGTTTGAGGCGCAGATTACGAGGCCTGCCCCCCATGGACCTAGCTCAACGCTCTGTATTTTAGGCAGAGATCAGCAGGCGCTACATAGAATAACAAAGGTTTAATTCTTTCTTGATTCTCTTCCCACTATCAATGTCTGATTCTCTTCCTATTTCTCAGTTGCAGTTGCCAAAAAAGAGAATCATTTGTCCTAAATAATTGTAAGTGATGTTCTTCAGTCGGAGCTTTTGTGTTGGACTACCTCACAGGTCTCTGACCTACAGATTGGCTATCTTAGGTCAAGTGTCCACCCCTAGACCAATGGCTGGTGGGGAGAGTGGAGGAGGCATGGGTTAGCCAGAGTACAAGAATGATATGGAACCGCTACACTCAGCAGGGGCTCTGGGTGGTCAGCTTTGTTTGGAAGGGACTGTGGGAATGTCCCAATGTCCCACACAGACTGGGCTGGCCAGCAGTGAGTTAATTCAGAAATTAAAAGAGCATGATGAAAAAAAAACAAATTAAAAAATAAAAATAAAATCATAAAAACCAAAAAAAGGGCATGACTGCACATTCAAAGGTCCTGTGAGCACTTCAGCCAAAGATTGATTATTTCCTGAACTACACTCCAGATAGAATTTCAGCCAAGCCACTCTTCAAATAACAACAGTGATAGATCTAGTCTCAAAAATATTTCCCTCAGATCTAGCAGCCAGCTGGCTAGGTTAAACAAGGAATTTAGGTGGCGAGAGACATAATGCAGAGGTAGACGGGATAATATTTGGAATACAGCCAAGGAATCAAGGTTCCAAGCCCATGGATGCTATTACATCACCATATGGTCTTGGGAAAGACACCTTAACCCCTCCCGCCTCAGGCTTGTCATCTTTACAGGTTACAAAATGACAGGGATTAAGACAGTCGAATGGAATGACAGGTGTAAAGGTGCTTTTTAAAGTTAGAAGAGCTGCACAAATGTTATATTTACAAGTAGGACTTGTCATTAACTATACGTTTACTCATGAAGGAGTAACCCCACAGTACGTCCTATCTCAATGAATCCACCCTGCACGGGGACCATCCGGTTGTATTTCTTCAACCTTGCTAAACATCAGGAATGGTAACTGTAAGAATATTCAAGACTTACAACGTATTCTAATGCCCTCCCATAGCCCTTCTGTTTAAATAATCCAAATGGTGAGGAAAGCCATAAAAAAACAAGTTTAGTTATGTTTTACTCCCAGATTTATTTCCATGCAGTATCTTGGAAAAACAAAATAATTTTCCTCATGTTACGCCCCATTTCCTTTCCACAAGATAAAAATTGACTTCCCACACCCCCAAAATGTGCTCAATTTTCCAAAAAACCAATTCAGGAATACTGAGAATGTCTTCATTTTCCTGTTCCTTTATGGTGAGTCTGATGTTTCAACTAGACCAACAACAATAGGAGAAAGGGGTTTACCAAATATTTGTATGATTGATGAGAAACCCAGGAATTTCTATGGCTTCTGAAAAAAAGGAGCTCTGCATCTTTAAGGCTCCACAGAGCTCTCTCTGCTGGTGATGCAGACGGAGCAGGCTCTGCCGCAGATCTCAGCCTATCCTATCGATAAGGTTCAGTTAGCCAAGGTGGAGGATGGGAAAAGAATGGAGCTGTCCCAGCTACTCAATGAGATCAGGGCAAACTATGAAAAGCTCCTCACCAGAAATCAGATAGAGACCGTGCTCTCAACAAGGATCCAGGTAATGATTTCATACAGACAGGCATCTTCCAGGATAAGGAGACAATCCATGTCTATCCAATTCCTGTCCCGGCCTCTCTGAGGTACAGTATTTCCTTTTCAATGCAGCATATACTGGGGAAGGAATTTAGGTTTTTACTGCAATGTGATTGGGACTACAGGGGGGGAAACGCCATGATTATACTGTTAAATGACCATTAAATAAATGTTGATTGATGCATTTGATTTTTCATATAAATTATGAGGTTACTATCATTAACAAAACACAGGCTCAACATCCAATAAAATGGTGCACTCTAACCTCTTTCAGACATCCTACGTGAAGGCAGCATTTCAGATACCCTTCGAAGATGTTATGGAGTTATTTATAGAAATAATTTAAATAATATCATTAAAATACAAGCTTTATAGTAAGGCTTTTAGCTTGTACATTTTGCAAGACACATCTAAGTAAAATATTGCTAAAAGGCTTCTATTATTTTTTAAAATGAGTTCAATTTTATACCAGCTTGTTATAAATAGAAATCATCTGGTATGTGAACATGGCATTCAGAGAAAATGATATAAATTGGGGCGATCAAAACTCCCCAAATTGATAAGGACTCTCCACTAGATTATAGATTTTTGCTTTTGTACTCGAAGATGACAAATGTTTATTTTTATCTAAGCATGCAATATTTAAGTATTTTTTAGAAAGAGAGCCAAGTTAAATAAGGGCTAAATCCTAATTTCATACTTTGTTTTAAAGTGACAATCACTTTAGCAATTGATTAATGTTTCATCTTTAAATAAATGTACAAACAAATATTTTAGAAACAAAGATTCAGAAATTCAGGGTTTGGTTTTTATTTTTGTCTTTTTTTTTTTTTTTTAGTTAACCTATCATATCTGAGTTCAAGTTCTATGCCAAGCACACAAATACAACAAAGAGTTTACCTAAGAACATCACCAAAAGGGAAAAAAATATTTCTGGGAAACCATAGGACATTACTGCATTAGCAATTCATTTTTAGTAACAACATCAATTTAACCTCTGGGTAACATTTTCAGTCTTCCTAAAGAACGATCAGCATCCTAGATTAAGCAAACTCACTGGGATATTTAAGTGTTGGAATAGTTCACTCACCTTTTACAAAGAGAAGAAAAAAATTAAGAGATGATAATTTCTGAAAATTATAAACCAAATAAACATTTTATATTGCAATGACAGAAATACAAGTTACTTAGTTTACAAGTCACAATGCTGAAATGAATAAATTAAAGTGAAAAAGCAAGATGACAGTAAATTTTGTTTAGTCTTCTTCGCATAAAACTACTTTAGGGGATTTTTTTCCCAAAGAATTTAGAAAGCCAACTGTAATACATTCAAGGAAGCCTGATTATTTAATTATTACACAATAAAAATAAGCTATTGTAGTTATTTACTGCTGTATAACAAACCACCCCAGAACTTGGTGGATTAAAACAACCATTGTATTCTCTTTCATGATGCTGTGGGTAGACTAGGTTCAGTGGGGGTGATTCTTTTAGCTGCACATGACATTAACTAGGACTGCAGTCATCTTGGGGTACAACTAGGTTGTCTGGCACCTTGGCAGGGCATTCCTGCAAGGCTGGCTCACCTAAGACAACTGGACGGGTTTCTCTCTCTACCTGGCCCCTCTACGTGATCTCTCCATCAGGGTATCCAAACTTCTTACATGTTGTCCCAAAGCTCCCCAAAGCATAGACGTGGAAGCTGTCGGGGCTTCCTAAGGCTTAGGCCTATAGCTGGCACTTCTGCTGTATTCTACTAGCTAAAGCAAGACACAGGTCATCCCAGATTCAGTGTGGAAGGGGACCAAACCAGGACATGAATTTTGGGAGGTGTGACTCATTGGGAGCCATCTTGGGAATCTAGCTACTGCACAAGCCTAGCTGTCAGTTTCTCACTCAACATCTAAAAGACCAGTAGAAACCAGCATTTTTATGTTCTATTTCCTAATTCTTGTCATTCTCTCTTGTACTTGCTCTGATATGTGTTACTGCTTGGCTTTGCCAACTTAACACTACGAATAAATGATACAACAAACCAAAAGAAACAAATGAATTTTGTTCTCTAATACCTTGTGCTGAACTTTATTCAGACTTTCATTTAATCCAATATTTCCTTTAAGAAAAATCCACGGTACCACCAAATTAAATGTTTTTAACTTTAAAAATGTATTTTTTATATGGACATTTAAAAGTTCTCATTTTTGCTTCAAAATACTACCATCAATTCTATACATTTCTCCTGTTGCTCTGGGGGCCAAATGCTGAGAATTCTGTCAAAAGATAACTTTCATTTAATCCCCAGCATCAGCATAAGAACACTTAAAGCTGAACAGAAAATAATCCACTTGTTATTTAACATGAGAACATTTAGAAAACAATCTTTGAAGAAGTCATTTTCACTGCTACCCCAGATACCCAGAATTAACATGCTTTCTAAAAAGATCATTTTGAAAAAGGTAAATCAACAGTGGGTTCTCTTAATACAGAAGGCTGTAAGAATCTCTAATGCCCATGATAACTTAACGCATTAAATTATTCATAATATACCTCCTAGCAATATTTACTCCTTGCCCATATGCCAAGTCCCAGAAATGATCAATTGAGGATACATAGCTGTTTATCTGTTTTTATAAAGCAGTCTACAAGAAAATATGGGGGGGGGAAATAGTAACTAATTCTCTACCTTTCTTCCTTAATGATGCTATAAAAGTTAGAATCAGAAAGTTCTTATGATGCTAGAAAGTTAAGAATCAGAGATCTCACACTTAAGTCTTGCAAACTTACTTCTCATTAACATGTATTTTTCTGCATTTCATAGACAGTCGTGGTAGGAAGGAACTTTTGAGGTTCATTTTACAGCTGAGAAAACTGAGGCTGAAGGTGCAATGGACTTGCCTGCATACATAATTCGTTAGCACCAGAACACACATGTGTAATTTAACAATTTAAAGGAAAAAAAATGATTCGATTCCCGTACTATTGTTCTGGAACTGCTTTTACATGTCTCATTTTCAAGGGTGCTCTTTTTGCTGTTGTTATTGTTGTTGTTGGCTTTCTTCTAGCTGGAAGAAGATATAAGCCAAAAAATGGACAAAGATGAAGAGGCTCTAAAGGCGGCTCAAGCAGAACTCAAGGAAGCTCGACGCCAGTGGCACCATCTGCAAGTGGAAATTGAATCTCTCCATGCTGTGGTGAGAATGATCTCAAAAGCAACTGGCCCCCTGGGTCCCCAGATGTTATCTGATTAAGAGAGGGAAAGGAATAATACGACTGTCCGTTACTGGACAGTGAGAAACTGAAAATCAGGCCAGTGCATTGAATCCGTGGTTCTAGCTCAACGACCCCTCTGCCGCCATCATGGCCATGATCAATTCACTGCAGGTTTAGTTCACACCCATAAAAATGAAATAATCCTTGCTTATCACCCTGGGGTTCTCTAATTGTTGGAGTAGGGGAACAGAGCCTTTGTCATCATCCAAAGTCATAACAGTTGGGAGTCTCTGACCTCTACCACTGAGACTTCTAACAGAAAAATATTTAAACACTTTCCTAAAATGCCTTTTATCAGCAGTTTACTCTGGCTTTGATATTCAATATTCTATATTTTCAATATTTAATAAATCAGGATGCTAAACTAATCACACTGCAGATTTTGGGGGCGCAAAAGAATTATCACAGGATTCCTTTGAACTAGTAAGCTTTCTAGCTATAGATATAAAATATTTTTTTTAAAACTGAGTCATACATAAAGCTGTAAGGAAACACCTCTTACTTAAGTGACGTATAAACACTGCAACCTCTTTAAGAAAGAACACAATAGAACAAAAACATTGCAAATCAGATTTCAGAAACACCTTTTGTTTCACTGATTCACTGATGAAGATCTATATAAAACAGGAGAGGGGCCTTGAAAACTCCCTGCACGCCAGTGAGCAGCATTACCAGATGCAGCTGCAAGACCTAGAGGCAGTGATTGAAGGACTAGAAAAAGAGCTCCAGGAAGTCAGGCGCGGCATCGAAAAGCAGCTTCAAGAGCATGAGATGCTTCTCAACACGAAGATGAGGCTAGAGCAAGAAATAGCAACTTATCGCCGCCTCCTAGAAAAGGAAGAAATCAGGTACCTAATTCCCTGTAGTTAATGACCAGAAACAAACTGTCACTGATGTAGTCAGAGAAATGTAATCAAAAAAATCCGCATCACCATGCCGTGCTCAGAGTACCTAAGACAAACTAAGACTCGTACGCACTGCAAATAATATGTGGAAGAACTATTTCCAGCCTCCCAAAATTATGGACAGACTAGCCAAAGTCAGGGACATTATCTACAACAAAGAGCACAGCAAGTCCAGAACAATATGTAAATAATTCTCAACTGCTACAAAAATGACTTTCCTTAACTTTCTTACTTTCGTTGCCATTCACCTCATTTAGAATTAGTAAGTGCCTTCTATGGTCCACCCACAAAAAAAGCTTGAAAAATTCACGTATTACCACATCCCTCCATCCCACAAGGGCCCACTCCCAGCATACATCAAATACCAAAATAATAAAATAATTGTTGTTATTATTCCTATTATTATTACAGTACAACCATGGAAAGCAATGTTGTTGTGAGTACATGATTTGAAAGACTTCCAGATATCCTGATAACAAAAGGTATCAAAAGAGGAATTCTTATTAATTCACACAATTTCATAATCTGTATAATCATAAGGTCATATGGCTTTGAGTACAGCACAGCCTCCATGTTCCCATAAAAAGAAATCTTTATTCTCACTTGCTTCAGAATTCTGAGTCTTCTGTGAAACTAGATGGAACTACTTTCACCTATAAGTCTTGCCATTTGCTAAATCCTTGAAAAACGTAAGTTGAATTAAAAATATACCACTTACTCGCTGAGTGATGCTGGGAAAGTTACTGGATCTCTCTGTGCCTCCATTTTCTCATCTATAAAAGGGGAATGTTATTGCCTACCTCATAAAATTGCAATGAGGATTAAATGAATTAATGTTTGTAAAGTGCTTAAGACAGTGCTATGTAAATATATATACAGCTATATACATAGAACTTATTATTAAATAACATGGTTGTGAATTTTATTTAATGTCTAAATCATTCAAGATGTCTTTAATATTCCTTTAATATAATTTTGAAATTTTTATTATGCTATATTTAAGATACACAAGAAAGTATCAAGAAAAATACAATGAGGAGGGGAAGGTATAGCTCTGGTGGTACAGCGTATGCTTAGCGTGCACGAGGTCCTGGGTTCAATCTCTAGTACCTCCGTAATACATAAATAATAAATAAACCTAATTGCCTCCCCCCAGAAAAAAAATTTTTAAAGAAAAATATAATGAACTCCCACATACCCACTTCTCCCAAGTTTAAGAAGTGGAAACATTTATAATGTTGTTGAAGTTCCGCCCCCCCAGTCCCCGCCCCAGGCACCTAAACCACACCCCCAACAGTTTCATCCTCCTCCCTCAGTCTAACCTTGCTCCCAAATTTAAGGCTTAGTAGTTTCATTAGTCTCACAATGTATCCCTAAGCAAAATATGAAATTGTCTTGCATATTATTTCAACCTTTATAAAATTAGCTACGATCTTTTTATCCCCATCCATGTTATCTTGGGAGATTGCTCCATACAGATACAGTATATCCTTAGTGCCCTTGTTTTCACTGCTAAATAGTATTTCCTTTGTATGACTATACTACAGATTATCCATTCTCTTACTGGTGAGCATTTGTTTCAACTACATGCTAATACAATGTTGCTCCTATAATATAATTCTCTCCAATTGCAGATATTATGGTTGTATCCAAGGTGGGAAAAAAGAACAAAAACCTACCACAAGTAGAGTTGGTTTTCTTTTACCTTCAGGTGAGTTTCTGATATAAGTAAACTAACTGGAAAAGTGAAGGGCCATTTATAGAGATTATACGTAAATAAAGTAGCAACAACAAGCAATATTTGAATAAAGTTTGACATACAAATTGGCTGTGAATAGAACTTCAACATTGTCATTTAATGTTTCATAAATAATATTTTCACAGCCATTATAAATGAAATATCTTTTTCCACAAAAGTCCCACAAAAGTGTGAGAACGAAAAAGTGGAAACAGTGACCAAACAGGCAATATTAAATGGAAGTATTGTGAAAGAAAGCACTGAAGCTCACGGCACGATTCAGTAAGTAAAACAATTCTGAGTTAAGAAATAATAATGAATGTACACCAAAAAATTAACTTTAATTGAGTAATAACTTCAGTATCTTTGAATGTTTCCTAACATAATTTTATATACTGTGATTTTTAATCTGACATGAACAAATATATATAAACAAAAACTCAGCTGAAGATTCAATCATCAACCCATCATTTTTCCAAAAATATAACCAAAATGTGAGAATGCCACAGAATCCCTTAGAAATTATATTCATATGATTTTTAAAGAATATAAGTTATAAATGCCATAATGTCCATTATAAATTTTAATTTAAAATGTAAGTTACAAATTAAATGTATTTCTTGATTTCTTTTTCATATGCAATACTTTTTTTTCCCGCTATATCCATACTTATTCATATAGAAAGGTTTATTTTATCATTTTAGGACAGAGAAAGTGGATGAAGTTATTAAAGAATGGGAAGGTTCCTTCTTTAAAGATAACCCTCGATTAAGGAAAAAATCTGTCTCTCTTCGATTTGATCTGCATTTAGCAGCCACTGATGAAGGGTGTTTACAGACTAAGCAGGATAACTTACCGGATATAGAAGTCAGGCTTATCATGAGAAGATCATGCAGTATCCCCTCTATCAAACCTCCATCAGCAACTAATTAATCCAAAGACAGTGTCTGACTTGATGTGAAGATGACATTAAGATGGACCAAGGGTGGGCCATGCTGACTATCGCCTGTCCCTAAATGAAAGTTATTAAGTACACTTGGTATGACCAACATACGAGTCTCTTCAGAAAAAAAAAAAAAAAGGAGGGGACAATATTTCTCTGAGTCTAATTATAAGCGTACTTTTTGGAGAGGGGGAGCTTCAAATAAAATCAGAAATTTAGCACAGTTTCTATTTTATTTATTCTCCAAAGAGTCTTGTTTTTCCCTCTAAATTTTTATCAGAGACTGTAAGTATTAAGAGGGTTTGGTTAAGTCTTTGAAATTACACTCAGTGGCTGGACACTGTAAGAAAAAGGGGATAGTCTGTTTAAATATGATTGTATTATGTTAAGAACCACACTGAATTATTATTCATTGTTATTCCATGATTGGTTGTATCTAAAAAGATTTTTCTACTTAAAAAAGAAAGCACTTATAAACAAACTTTGAAAGAGGACGCATTATTCACTTAACCAAATTTTTTTCATTTTGAGACAATAATTTGCATACTTAGAAAAAGAACAGTTACCTTCCACAAGATGTTTTGAGCAAAATATGGAGCACACCCCAGGGCTAATTTGATGATTAAGAAAAATCAAGTTAATCGTCACCTGAAAGTTTTTTGTAATCATTATCTGACTGGCAGAAGTGACTCTATTCAAAGAACTTCAAAGGTTGTGTCCTCCCCCACAAAAAATCAGAAGGCCAGCTGCACAAACACAACATGAAAGCTAGTTACTACAATTACTAGAACAGAGTTATCCAATCTCTCATCATCCCAACTTTTCCATCTGTAAAGTTAAATGTGATTAATTTGAGTCTCTGATGTGAGCATTAAAGATACAGTATAAAGTATTACAAATATTTCTTGTATTTATTTATGTGAATTAAGATAACAGTGTTATCTAAGCTAAGAGTATTTGCAAGATTTGTGTTTTTAAAATGTTCAAACCGTAATAAATATGGATAGAAAATATATTTGTGAATAAGTCAAGTATTGTTGCAGTTTTTTAAACAACCTAATCTGTTTAATACAGGTATATTTAAAGACCTTAAATAATGCATACCTGTTTTAAACATTAGAAATTTATAGGCTATCAATTTTTTTCTAAGCAAAAAAAAAAAAAACCATTGAGTATAATTCACTATACTTTCTCCCAGCTAAAGTATTATCTAAGGGCTACAGCTGTTAGCATATTAATACAGCCTTTGCAACTTTCTGTCCTCTTTGTCAACCAAAAAAAAAAAAGGTATATTTTTAACCAGAAGAAAATTATGTTAGTCTTTAACATAATACAGGGAATAACATTTAAATTTTCTTTCAATTACTTTAGTTTTCTTTTAGACTGGCTTATTCTATTTAGTGAAAAGGATGATTTTTTTGTCAAGGAAACAACAGCATGTTATGTGCTTATTCCTCTATAAGCCTCTGACCTAAAATACATCCTATACATAAAAGTGTTTTCATTCAATGTTAGTTAAATGCTACTAACTTTATTAAAGCTTTGAAAATGCAATCATAGAAGCTATTGTACTAAAGTTACTGTACTAAGCAACAGTATCATAATAAAGGAATATAGCTAGTGTAATTTACATGCAGTGTTAAAAACTTTGTACCAGGCATCATGAATGTGACTGCTTGTTAAAGTAATTCCACCATGCAGCTATTGTATGTATAACATGTACATTTTAAAATACAGTACTTGAATTTATAACAGTTTTATTTGCTTTGGGACATTTAAAATTGGGATATGAATTTACCAAAGTAAATGATACCACTACAATAAAAAAAAATTGAAACATGAACTACTAACCTGCCTTGTATTTGATACACTGTGTCAAGTTTAATTGTTCCAATAATTGTCCCAATTCCCTCCCTTGGGGAATGAAGAAAACTGTAACCACTGTGGACAGATAACACTTTTATACATTTTTTTTTTTGAACAGAGGTACTGTGGATTGAACCCAGGACCTCGTGCCTGTTAGGCATGCACTCTACCACTGAGCTATACAAAAGAAAAAATTTTACAAGAGAAAAATTTAGAATGGTATATTCTAACACATGATATAGTCTGATTTTAAAAATAAAAATAAAAATAATCCCATAATCCCAGGGAAAAACATATACGAACAGTCACCATTGGGAGAGCGCTCACTCTGCTCCTGGCCCTGTCCTCAACATCTCTGTGCACAATCCCTCATCCCTATGATAATCCTGGAAGATGCATAATATTATCCTCACTGTATGGATGAAAAGAAATTAATACCCTTCAATCTCTCTGAAATGGTTCAAACGCATGATTCCATAACAAAATACAAAAGTAAATAATGATTCTAATTATCAACAATTGCAGGATCCCAGCCCTGGGGCTGTCACTACTGACCCCTGAAACCAGGAAGGACTCATTTAAATTCCCTAGGCCTCAATTTTTCACACCTGAAAATGAAAGGAAAGGTGGTGCTTGATCATAATTCCTACTCTGCCTACCTCACAAAGCTGTCTGAAATAACTACATTCGTGAAAAGATCTGGCAAAGCACTACTCAAATACACAGTACTATTTGGATGAAAATTGTCACCAGGAGAGAATTTGGGAGGATAATTATGTTGACAATGACTAAGTAGTAGTTCAAAACACAACAAGTAAAGAAAAAATTTTTAATTCTTCAGTTACTGCTAGAAGAGTCATTCTTTCTCAGTGAGTTATCCAATCTGAACGGTTCTACCATAATAGTTTAAAGTACAAAATGTTCTCTAATGTGAAAAAAAAATGGAAAGTTTCAAATGGAATGCTATTATGGCACATGGACCAAAAATAAACTTTAGCTAAATACTATGCATACACACATGACTCAAATTATCGGCACATGAAATCAAAGGAAAGTTTGTGCACAGGGTAGAATTTGGTTCTATGCTTATAAGTTGTGGCCAGTACTTACGCACAGATCGCCAGTGTTCAAGGGCATGCCACAAATATTTTGAAATAAGGTGTAAGTGTAAATCAGTACAAGCCTTTTCCAGTTTCCCTTAACCACTGAGACCCTAGACCAGGGTTGGCAAACTTTGTAAAAGCCCACGGAGCAGGGATTTTAGATTTTTCAGGGCCATACAATCCCTGGAACTATTCAACTCTGCCTTTGTAGCTGAAAACAGCTGTTACATAAATAATACATAAATAAATTGGCATGGCTGTGTCCTAATAAAACCACAAAAACAGAAGGCAGCCCAGATCTGGCCTGCACCTGTGGTCTGCCAACACCTGCCCTTGACCCTCAAATAAGGTCTGTGAATGATGGACCATACCTCAGATTCCCCGGGACCATCCTGTTTTCAAACACTTTCATCCTTTTCCACACTATGGGTCAAAGCTCATGTCTCAAATCCCCAGGTATTTTGAAGGCACTGCTGAAGGCTGTAAAAGCAAACCTACTTGGTCAAATTCTACAAAACATCATGGATCACTCAATCCTGGCAATCTGCTGGGGTTCGATATTTCACAACAATTTCTAGAGATAGCAACTGAATAGCCATCACTTGTGCTTTCACAAGCATGGCTAAGAAAACTAGCTTATTTCACCATTTTTCCTATGGCCAGACTTTTATAAACTATTTGGCTCGGACAGAGTTCTGTCCTTTCCTTCCCTATTTTAAGAAAAAAAAAGCCATTTAAATAAGTTTCATTAGACCAAACTATAAATTGCACAGCTCAGCGGTTGGTTCAAAATCTTTTTTGAGCCACAAACCTCTTTGAAAACCTGTTAAACTCCAAACCCTCTATCTGAGGGGGTGGGGGAAGCACCTAAAAATTATATACAATTATAAAGGGCTATAAAGAAATAAACCTCCTAGAGCCAATTCACAGACTACTAAGTGCCCAAGAGCTATGGGTTTTCCCTTGTTCTCTCCCATTTTCTCCCTTCTCTGCTTCCTTCCCAGTCATGGTTTTCTTTCTACCCTTAACTGTCTCCCTCCCAGAAATTGAAGAAACCTGGACTTCAATCCTAGGTCTACTAGTCACTTGCCTGTTTTGGTTTCCCTGCCTTGCAGGAAAGAAGAACTCAAGGAATCATACTTCCTAGTGTCAGAGAGGAAAGCAGGCCAAGTTCCCAGATCTTGCTGCCAGAAAGAAAACTTAACTACTCGGTTCTAAGATGCGTTCTGGGGTTTACCACTAGGTACCTGCGAGGGCTCCCAACAACTTTACAGTTACATACAGTTTAAACAGTCACATTAATGATGCATCTCATATTTTCCAGGAATAATCACCATTCCAAAAGTCTATCCTGTGGTCCCCATCAATAACCCTGTATGTGCAAGATTATATGTCCCGATGTTTGCTTGGGGGAAAAAACAACTCAGTGTAAGTGGAGTCCATTCTGCTATATTTCACTCTTAATTTCTAGGTTTTAATTTCTAGGGCTTTCTCTATCATATTTTGCCTTTATTCTTCCTTTACTTTTGCAAATCCTCGGAGTAGAGAAAGAACCAAAAGGATGAAAACGAGACAGTCACTCATTTATTCACTCCACAAATATTCAGCACCTGAGAGTGCACTGTTCCAGATGTTCAAAGACCCCCTCTCAAGGAGCTTTCATTCTGATGAGAAGAAAAAACCAACCCCATAACAAATATAGTATGCTTGTGAGAAGTGCTGCAGGAAAAAACAGCACAGACCATGAAGAGCGGGGAGGCGGAGGAATGAGCTGTAATTTTAAGTAGGTCAGGAAAGGCCTACTGGGAAGGTGACTTTTGAGTAAAGGCATGGGAATGAAATGAAATGCTCCACTGAAATCCCCTTCTTTCCTTTTCCACCATTGTTTGTGCCAGCCCTTTCCCACTATGGCGTACTTTGTTCCTAACACCCAGCACCTTCAGGTTTTCTTCAGACGACTGCCTAGAGATGGAACAACAGAGCTCCTGCCCCAGCGCAGCCCAATCCAATACCCCACCGTAAAAGCCCGAGGAGAGTACTGCCATACCTGCTGAGGCCTTCGTGTACCTTACATTAATCTATGTCTCTGATGCTCTTATGTTTAAAAAAAAAAAAAAGGAAAAGGAAAAGCAATTTCATGTACATTAGCTCAAGCACCATTCAGGCTTTAATGACCTCTTTAGCCTTTAATGACCTCTTTTTTAATCTTTCCCTTCCAAACGCTCTTCGATTTCACTAATCTCTATTCATGAGTTTAAAAATACTGGAGGTGGAAGAACTGGACAGATGGTCACTTGTCCCTGGCTTCGCAGACTTCTATAGAATGCGTGGCTAAAGGCAGCTGAAGAAATCAGTCACTCTAGACGTCAATACTGTTTTCAAGTAATTTCAGATCCTTCTCCCTCCACAGTAACCCACAACATCGGCCAGGTGTTTGTATATCCAAGGAGAGGCTACTAACTAGTAAATCAAAGTACTCATGATTTAGTGGAAAGAGCCCTGGACTAGACCAGAGGCTGCCTCAATACACATTTACTGAGCATCTAATAATGTGTCAAGCCCTTACTGGGCACTGGCGAGACGAAGATGACCAATGCAGATGGCTGAACCTTCCGACACCATGTATCAAGTGAAGACGATAATAAAGTTATCAAACAACTTTGGGAAGGGCTGGACGGGGGGAGGAGTTCCAGAAGGGCATCACAAACAATTTGAGCTGGAGCCGGAAGGGCAGATGAATCTCAGCTGAAAAGTGAAAAGCAGTCCTTCCCGGCGAAAGGAGCAGAATGAGCGAGGGCGCGCGCTGGGACTGAGACCCCGGCCCCTCGTTTCTAAGACACACAACCTGGGACGAGGGGGTTAACATCTCCGGGCCTTGGCTCAAAAACCTGCAGCAATAACACGAGCCTCGCGCTTCGGAAAACTGAAAAAGTCCGTGTTGCTTTCGCCAGGGCTTCTGCCGGGCCGTTAGGGCAGGAAGCCGGGTGAGGCGCGCCTAGGGACCGAAACTCGGAGAACCGGGCGCTGGCCGCCGCCATCCTCTGCTGAAGCATACGCTCCAGCTGCCAGAGAAAAGAGGAAAGAAAGAGACCGGAAGGGAACAAGCGAAAAAAAAAAAAAAACTCGCGGGGGCGTGTGCGGCCCGAGCCTGGCCCGGGTGGCGCGCGTCCCGCGCGGCCACAGTGGTTCCGGGGCTCGCGGCCGGGCGCGCTTCCCGCCGCCTTCCGGCCCCGCGCGGGGAAGCCGAGGCCGCACTCCCACCTCCCCTCGGCGCAGCTTCGCACCTCCCGCCGCGTCACCCGTCGCCGCTCCTGCTCCTCACGGCCGCGGAGTCCGGGGCCTACCCCTCGGTCGGGCCACCTCCGCCCTCTCCGCTGTGACGAATCGGCACCCGGCTGGCAAAATACCCAAATTCGGGGAGTTTGGAGAGACGTATGGGGTCTGAAAAAAAATCCTTGCCCGTAATCGGCACTACCGCGTCCTCACTAGAAGGTTTATCTTTCTAAAGAGGGTCGGGTGGGGCCTGGAAAGGAATTAAGAAGAGTGTGGAAAGTGCGAGTGCGGAAGCTCCGGACGCGAGGGGCGGGGCGTGCGCGGGACAAAGGGAAGCGAGGCCGGAGCTGCGGGCGCTTTTTCTGCCCGCGGGTGAGTGTTTCCGACTGGGCCCGACTGGGTCGGGAGGGTAGCGAGGCGTGGTGTCCCGGCTTGGCCGGACCCCGAGTTCCCGGGGGTTGCTGGGGTTCGGGCTCGGCCGTGGGGCCAGAGCCGGGGGCCGGTTGCGGCCTCTCTGAGGCCTAGCGGAGCGAGGGTGGGGAGGGAGTCCCATCTGGGGCTCCTCCTTGGCAGCCAGAGGTGCCCCGTCCACCAACCCTGCGAGATTGCTCAGAGCACTTCTGCATACCCTCTTTAGCAGAGTTACTGGTAAAGTGCATCCTTCTCAGCAAACCTAAAGGAAACGACCTCCGAGGAAGCCCCGGGGTACAAGCCAAGCCCCTGGTCCTCCCCCCCACCCCCACCCCCACCCCCGGAAGGTGGTTTCCCCGTGGTTCAGGCAGCGACTCACGGTGTGGCTTAGGGTGCAGAGCGAAAGCTCGGAACAGTTTGGCCTGGGTTTGAAACCCCACTCTGGCACTTCCTGGCTGTGTGTCTTTAGACAAGTTACTTAAACTCGCCGAGACTCCCTTTTTTCCTCTGTAAAATGGAAATTGCAGTACACTTCTTGTTGGTAGCTGTGACTATTAAACCAGATGGTATAAGTAATAAGTCCGTCCCGTATAATGTATTGAACAAATACTTCTCCACGATTCGATGCCAGGCACCGGGGATGGATCCGGTGGTGGACAGATGTTAACAAGCTCACTCTTACTCTTAGAATTTATAGTATAGCAAAGGAGATCAGTAATTTTAAAGTATTAACAATGAAGTGTGATGTGCCAGGGAACTTGTAAATGTTATTGTCAGGGCTCCCCACAGCAAGGCCTACTGAATGTTGACAGCCTACCTGAATGTGAGAAGGCAGGAAATCTGCACCAGATTCAGCTAGTTTTGTGCCTGTTCCTTAAGGAGAGAGGGGGAGACCCAGGTTGGGCCATTGAAAAAAATAAACTGTTTGCATAACAGGCTTCTTATTCCTAATGCTCCAGAAATTCCTTTAAAATGCAGAATGAAAGCAAGAAAAAAATCATGTTTGTTTCTCATAATATTGGATGAAAGTGCTCCAGTAATCATAGAAGTTACTGCCTTTTTTCTAAAAATGAATGTTTTTCTCTTTGTACGCACTGTGTGTGATGTATATTGATTTAGGGAACTAGCTCACGTGTCTGGTCGAGTCGTGAGCTAGTAATACTAAGACAATGTATTAAGAATTGAGCTAGGTACTGGGACTGCAGTAATGACTTAGATGGTCCCTGTTCCCAAGCAGCTCTCAATCTACTCATAGTAACAGGTATAATACGATGCTATGTAAATTGGATGGGAGTATAGATGAGGAAACAATTAATTCTGCACGGCTAATTTGTCAAGAACGCTCCACGGAGATGTTGTGTTTTGAAATGGGCTGAGAAGAGTTAATAAGAGTTTCAGGTAGACTCTCAAAATTGGTTCCCAGCAGTCATAAAGAGAATGTAAAGGTCATTATCACACCAGTTATCTTTTGCACTGCCTCCTGGAATAAAATGCTGCTCCATTTTCATAGAAGTTGTTATCCTAAAAGGAAGGTAGCGATGTGGCTAATCAGGGAGCTGTCAGTATCTGGTACGCCTTGTTGCGGTAGGCCCTGATAACATATCACATTCTATTGTCATATTTTTATCAATCTGTTTAAATGGCATCAGCAAAATGTTTGACATACAAGAGGTGGCTCAGTATCATAAAAACAAAACAAAGAATAAAACCTTGCAAGTACAAGTCTAATATTACTTTAATATCCCCAGCAATTTGTTTCAGTTGTTTTATTTTGATCAACCAAATGACCTAAAGAACTAGTAAACTTTTTAAAAGGCTTGATTACTAGAACATAATGTAATTTTACTAAGAAATACCAAGTAAACTACCCTATTCTTTAGGAAAACATTCTTTTATGCTTGCTGAGTTTTGATTATCTTTTTTTTTCTTTTTTTTTCTTTTTTTATTTTAGTGTCTCAGATTCATTCTTAAGGAACTGAGAACTTAATCTTCCAAAATGTCAAGTAAGTTTCATTTTTTATATTTATCAATCTATATTAATAAGAGACTAATGCCCTAGCAAGTGGGAATTCCAAAATACTCTCATTTTTTTTCTTCAAAACAGGACCATTGGTAGTTTTGTTGCATAGTATTATATCTCAGTTGTTTACAAGAAGTTATTTATTTTCTTTCAAACAGAAAGACCATCTTATGCCCCACCTCCCACCCCAGCTCCTGCAACAGTAAGTTTTAATTTTCTTGTTAATGTAATAGCCAAGTCTGGCCTTGATACAAAAACCCAGATGTCTTCCAGTGACAGTCACTCAGTCATCACAGCAACAGGATGAAAAATTCAGCTAAAAAACAGCACTTCCTGCTAAATAAAATAACTCTGCATCTTACCTTGAACCAACCCCAACATTTAAAGCAACATACTCCTGAAATGCCAACCTCTTATGCTCAGTTCTTTTTTTTAATTGGGAATAAGTGACAAGTTTAACACTTCTTTCTTGTTAATCTCTATTAAGAGTCTGGAAAGTTAATAAGGAATAAATGCTGGTTTTGGCATTTATTATTATTAAACCTAACCTTCAACTGGTTACATTTTTCTCTCCTTGTCTATATATAATTTTCATGTTAAATCAAACCTTAAAGCTTCCAGTTCTATAGTAACACTTATTGTAAATCTTTATTTTTCAAGCTGTTCAAGTGAGGATTTCATTATCTGTGGGTCAGATCCTGCTATTGAATTTTACTACATAAATAATATTTTATTGATTTCAAAGTAACAATAATAATGTTTTATTGGTTTCAGAAGTTTTAAGTTTCAAAGTGTCTAAATAATAGTTGTGAACTAGTTTTTCACCTAGCAAGCTCTGGCCCAGCTTGGTCAGCATGTAAAATAATTATCTAATCCACAAACAGATTTAACAGTAACTGTTCAGGCCTTGCTGAAATGGATTCCTTGTTTTTTTATTTAAAAACGGAAAACAAAACACTGTTAACATTGACCATATCCTACAAAAGAAGTTCTTTAACTAAAGCTTTTAGCCCTCCTACCATACCCCCTACCCCTAAACTTCTGGCTAGCTTACTAATTAGGGTCCTTGTGTAATTTTGTTTTTTCCACTAGATGACTACTTTTATTTACTAACCCTCAGATGTATGTTTTAGTTACGTGTATCAGCAGTTTGATTAAACTTAGTAAGATGCTTTTAAAAAGAGATACTGTATCACATGTTCTCAGCTCAATTTGTATAACATACAGTCTTTATAAAGTTACTTCCAGTAGATCTTAAAGTCCTGTGTTTGGTTTGTTTTCTTTCTTGAATCAAAGAACATTTCTTATGACCATCTCCTTGGCACTCTGCTGGTGGCTATACAGGTGGAGTTGAACAGTTGAGATTTCTGACCTCAAAGAGCTAACTATGTACTTCATTTTTGGAAATGGTATAATTGTAACCTTTTAGTTTCAATTTTTTTTCCTAAGCTCCCTTCCTTAATTTTCTTACATTATTGCCTCATAATGTTGAACAGTGATTCTCATTGTTTATGCAACCTTTGAAGGTGTCACTTTGTTGCAAATGCTACCTCTGACAGTGTATAAGATCTTGAAGACAAACTTGATTTTTTCGAGATAGTAAAAATAGCTCAAAAACCAACCCTATGGCTTCTTAAATGTAGAAAGGGATATTTTTACCTTTGTTTAGTCATACTTCTGTACCATGATAATTTCACATTTACACATAAAATACAGAAGACTAGGGGTTAGGACATCCAGCAGAATGGATATTAAATGAGTTATCCTTCCTTTTTTTTTTTTTTTCCATTACTTCTACCACCACCACCACCACCACCACCTCCACCATCACCACCACCTCCACCCACCACCACCCAAATGTACCACTCCAAGTAACATACACTTCTTTTGTGCCTTTGATACCTCATCTGTGTTTTGCCTACTTAAATATGCTTGATTTGCGTCTTCTATAACTACATAGACTAGAAACTGATCAGTGT